GATCAATTGTTATAGTTAGACGAGCATCCGGCTTCCAGTGAGGAGAAAAAGAAGAGGGGGGGGGGTCAAGGTTTAAAGGTCACCACACCACACGGGGGGGCGGGGGGGGGGGCAGCAGGAAGACATGTACCACCATCTGTGGGGGTTGATTGCGCTTGTGAGGGCGTTCGCAGCAGCGGTGGCGTGCGTTTCCCCTAGGACAGTGGAGGGCTGGTTGTTTACCACCTACCTGTGTCACTGCTCCTACCTGTCTCCACGTTGACGACCAAAATTTGGGTATTATTTGATGAAGACTACCGTAATGAGTCAGCATTCAGGCACTGCGAGGCGGTCGTGCGAACACCTCCATGAAGTGAAGCGGCTATGGTTGACCGAGGCTTTTATGTGCGCCAGCCACAACAGCAGCGTGTTGCATCTGTGGTCGAAGAAACTGCTCTCGCACACGAAACGCTCACGTGGGGGGGTTTAGAGGCGAGGGTGTTGGCACCACAGACGCCATCATCGGGAAAGAGCGCTCGGTGTCTGGCTACAGCAGTGTGTACATGGTGTCCATGCCATAATCACAGTTAGCGTCGGGGTTTGAGATGTACAAACGAGGCTTGGGGGCGCCGATGAAGACAACGTGTGTTTAGACTACTACTAGTAAATTTTGGCATGCTATCGACGCAGAACGCATTATTTTTTGCGTTGTGTTGACCTCGGGGGGGGATTGCGGAGGCGACCGATCTATCGATTGGTGATTCGTTTATCGTGGCGCCCAGATATGTGTTCGTGTCACGTAGTGATATGGATGTGGCTCCGTAATCAGAGCCAGAACCATCACAGGTTCGCCGCGATGAGCCTGGGAGTGACAGACAGCCCTCTCTTTGTTGTCAATGACTGTGTCTGCTGTTGCGGGATACGGGGGGGGGAGGTAGTTCAGAGCGCGCGACGTTCAATGAAACAACAACAGTCGGCACGTTGCGTTTTCTGTTTGCCGTTACGGGTAGCGAAAGCCGTCTTACTTTGCGACGCTGCTGTGCCCAAATGTTTCGGTTGCCACGCTCTCTCTCTCTCTCTCTCTCCTCCTCTCTTTGGTTGGCACATTTTTATTTTTCCGTGCGTTCCTGGTAACGACAAGTTGAACGGGCGCTGTTGATGACTGAGATATATTTTTTTAAGCGTGGAAAAAATATATATTTTTTTTTCCGGCGGGGCTGTGCGCGAAGGATACAGCAACACCTGCCTGCGGGTGGGTGTAGTAAGAGGTCATGACGGATTTGTTGATGCCGAGACAGCACTTTCTTTGCACGTGTAATGAAATGGTTACAAAGTTTTCAGCAAGGAATACGAATTGCTTGTAGACGGCACCTAGGCAAGCGTCCGGTACGATGGCGTGGTGCACGGTGGTGCATGAAATAAGTGATCCGAATGGTCCGTGTCCGGCGGCCAGAAGAAGAACGTCGACACATCATTGCCGTGACTGCTTCTTCCC